CAAATAATTTTTCTCACTCAAGCATTACATTATACAATTATATGATAGTTACTCAGTTTCTTCTCACTTTTCCAGTAAAATAACAAGATAGACACGATCAGGTCCTTAGGGCCATAATCAATTGTATTTCTGAATATAATATGTGAATTTTTTTTCTATATCAGAGCAATTACTTTTTCGTTGAATTATTATTGTTTTTCTTCTTTGTACCACAGAATAATTTTTCTTGCATATATTTTTATATGCCGCATACATTTATAGAATTATGTATCTATGTATGTTATATGTAATAAAATATATTTTTTTTATAATAAAAAATTAAAGAAAAAATTTTAACAGTACAAACATTTTTTTATCATTGAATTGCTTAGAAACTGCGATTTCACTTACACCATTTTTTTTTTCTTCTTATACAATTATAACAAGAAAAAAAGCATAGAAAAAGTTTAAAAAAAATGAGTTTAGGACGGGGAAAAATATGTGATGCTTTAACATTATAGCCTGATTTTTCCTTTTTTTTTTGAATAATATAATAAAATTGTAATGTTTGCTTGCAATTTCTAATCAAAATATTGAAATAACATTGAACTTGTGTACTTAACCTGGATAATTTTTCCTTTTATTTTAATACAAAAATTTCCTCGTTTGTTTTTTTTTCTTTTTTTTTTTCTGTGTGTAATAATAACATACGATGAAAGCAAATAATATGCAACAATAAAAGTACATTAGGAAAAGAAGCAAACAAAGAAAAAAAAAAAGAGAAGAAAACAAATTGAAAATGAAGGAAAAATTTCCTCGTTTATTTTATAATTTATTCATATGGAAAAACAATAAGTGCGAGTAAAAGAAAATGGAAGGTGATCATATCGAATTGTATACAATTTGTAATATAATATTAAAAAAAAAAGGATGTATTGCTCTATTTATATGTTAATATGTGTGCCTACAATTTTATAACAAAAACAAATTTTGAAGGATAATGAAAATTCTTATTCATGTTATTCAAACAGGAGAGTAAAGGAGAAATTAAAAATATAGAGCAAAAATTGAATTGAATTGAATTTTTAATTCAAAAGTATGCAAACTAAAATATTATTATGTAACTATATAAAATTTTCATGCAAAAGTTGTTTTTCCACAAAGGATTCACTCACTACATAATAATCCTTTTTACTCTATTTAAAATACCACAATAATTTTTTCATAATTATTTGAAATATTTTGAAAATTCAAAGAAAATGGAAAAATTTCATAAATTTTTTAATTAATAATAAAAAAAGAAAATGGAAAATTTCTTCAATTCATTTTTATTTTTAAGGTTATGTGAAAATTGATTTTTCCCCAAAAAAAAAAAAATAAATTTTTGTTAAGTCAAAAAATAAAATTTTTGTTTTTTGTTTGCTGTTTTTTTGTTTTTGTTTTTGACTGGTTCTTTTCTCTTTTTGTGTATATTTTGTTAATATAAATATAAGTGTGTGTATATTGTTTACTAAATTGTACATTATGTTGATTATTTTATTTGTTTTGCTACTATTCTCGAAATTGTTAGTGTATTTTACTCTCATTATTATTGCTGTTGCTGTTGTTATTTTGTTGTTGTTTCATATTAAAATTTTTTTTTTCCCATTTCACATTTCGTTTTTTGTTATTTTATTTTTTTTGTATACTATTATTGTTTATTTAAGTTCTGTTAAGTTTTTTATTTTTTAATATTTTTTTTTTTTGTTTTTCTTTTTGAAAACAGGAAATTATAACATTATTCTCAGTCTGGTGATATTTTTCAAATGTACATGGAAAATACGAAGTTTGGTTGAAAATATTTTGGTAAATATTGAATATGTGGCCATATAGAATCAATTGGTTGGTGTAAGCACGCTAATTAATGTTGAAAGTACTTTTCCTAGCATTGAACTGTTAAGCTTTATTAAATTTCTTATATTATCAAGATCAAATAAGAATCAAAAGAAGGTATTAAAAAAAATATTTCCGATGCAGTATATGTTCCCCGGTCTATGATTATTTCTTCAGATAAGGAATTCTTTTCTCGACTTTCAATCATTTTTCATTCATTTCTCAAGTTTTTGTGGTAAATAAAGTCGTTCATTAAATGTAATTTTAATTTTGAATAATTCGAACGTAAACTCATATGATTTCATCGATATTATTATTTATACCAAACGAATATTTATATTTTTTCAAAAAGAAGATTGTATAATCTTAGATATTCTTATAATCCTCAGATATTCTTAACACTTAAGAATAAAAAATTAAGTTTCTGACATCTGTCACAATCAAATATTTTGATCCTAATATTTCTTCCGCTTAACAAAATCTAATGAAATAACTTAATTTGTAGAATTAATAACAATTTTAGTAATTTATTGCAAAATTTAGAAATTATAAATCATTAAAATAACTGACATTCTTATATTACCCATATTGCGCTCGAAAACTAAATATGAATTATGATTTCCGCAAGCATAAACAATATTGTTGGAATGCTTATGTTGTATCCAATAGCAACTCATTTAAACATTCAACAATTTATTTGATAAAAATTTAGATTAAAATGATAAGCATGCGCATAACATAAGCAATTGATATATTTATTTTATATGCTATAGGAACACCATTTTATTCTATTTATAATTCATACATATCTTGTATATAATACTTATATATATAAGTATTAATTTTTCTTATAATACATTGGTCACATAATAATTGGCTATTCTGTCATGTCAACTTTTATCACACTAAATTTTTTCTATCTTAAATTATTATTCTTTTTAATAAATTTTAAATAAAAGCAGCAATATTTAGGAGATAGAATATGAATTTAAAATATTTAATTTATAAAACTAAGAAACTAATGTCGGTTAGTATAACAGATAGCGAACTGATTAGTATAACAGTTAGTATAATAGATAGCAAAATTCATAATAGAGTTATTCTAAACGACGTGTTAACAATTACTTTCATTTCTATTATCAACACTATTTTACATTCTTCAATTATGAAACTATTATTTTTAAAAACTTTTAAAATGTATAGGTACATATATACCCTGTAAGGACGTTCTTCATACGATAGTACTCTTATTGCCTAGCGTATTCAATAGTTGTAGGGGAACGCGTTTTCTGGCTAAATTAAAAGAAATATAGCTCTATCTCTTAGAACTCTAAACATTTTCGTGATCACCAAAAAAAAAAAAACAGAATTTTAAAAGTTGTTCGAAAAGTTTTTAAAGAACTTGAAACGGAATTTCTTGGGCATCAAAATGAGCTCATCAAGTTCATTTCTTTTCCAAGAGCACAATTATGGGTATTCAACAATAATTTCTAACTGAAGAAGATAAAAAAAGATTTGCACAATTAATTTTATTCTATTTAGACCCATTCTATTGTCCCAGCATCTTGCACAATTAATTTTGGTTCATCTAGACTCATTTTATTTTTAAAATATTGATTTCCCAAATTTTACAACCCGACCTTTGTATTTTTTCGTCAGTGAGAATAACAAAAATTTGTTTTTCATTTTTCATGTTTCGTACTTTTCGTTTTCTTTTTTTCTCTTGTGTTTATTCTTTTATTTCTTTCTTTTTCTGTTGTTCAGCATTTATAAAAATCCGTATTATCCTTATACAAATTTTGCGTTATTTTTTTTTTTCTTTTTGTTATTTTTCTCTTTATTTGTTTTGTTATTTATTTTTTGTTTTTATATAGAGTGTGTATGTAAAGAATTTTCTGCAACAGAGAGCAGCACATTTTATACATACCCACAAACATATTATAAAATATAATACATACAATTATATATTTTAAAAATAAAAATATAAAAATAAAGAGAAGAAAAAAAAATTGAAATTTTTCATTTTTTTCTGATAAGTAAGTGAGACAAACTTCCTGAATTAGTCGCTTAAGGATATTTAACCTAAAATTGTTATGTTATAAAAATAATTAGTTATTTTTATTAAATAAAAGGTATAATATATAAAAAGGTGTAAAATAAAAAAAAAAACGAAAATATAATAATAAAATTTATGTAACTGTAAAAAGTAATAATAACGCAGTTAAAAATAATAAACAAGTACACGCATTGTAAAAAAAAATGAAAAAAAAATTTTAAAAGAATAATGAAAATGTGTGAGAACAAAGATAAAAATTTCAATATTTTTTAAGCATAATACATGATTAGAAATTTAATCATCATATTATAAAGTGCGTGATTCAATATTGTTAATTTTCTTCGGAAAAAAACAGAATTTAATCCAGGATATTCTGCAAAATAATCGAATCAATTTTGCACATTTGGCAAAAACCATAACCACTGCGCCTCAATGTACATTTATGAACTTTACTCTAAATAACTCAAATTTTAAATTTCACATGACCGAAAACTTATAATTGTAGTTCATTAGTGAAAAATATTAACAATAAATATATGGAATAAAAAGTGAAAAATAATAATAATATTTCTTATTAATAAAAAAAAATATATAAACGGAACTATGCATAAATGAATACTAAATTAAAATCGATTAACTTGAGAAGAAATAAAAATAGGAAATAAATATCCTATAGCTGGAAAAAAGGAAAACGAAATAACAAAATATTAGAAAAGAAAAACAAATAAAAGAGCAACGAAAAAAATAATACAAAAAAATATAAACAAAATAAAAGAAAAAGTAAGAAAAATCAATTTTTAATCAAGAGTTAAGAAAAACAAAAAAACAAAAAATATATTTTTCCTTTTAGTCCTTGGATACATATAATAGAATTTCTCAAAAATAAAAATCCATCTTCTGGGCATAAAAAAATAAAATAAATAAATAGAACAACGAAAAAAAGAAGAAAAACGTCTGTAAATTTATTCAATTATTTTGTTGTTCTGTTTTTTTTTTTTGCTTCTTTCCCTTTTCACCGAATGCTTAAAATTTTATTTTTTTCTTCCTTTTCTTATAACATAATATTTCATACTATATATAGACACATAAATAAAATATTCTGCTCTATATTTTCTTGTTTACTCTCTTATCTTCCCTCTCTCTTCTCACCACCTATATTATTCTTCTATTCTGTTTCAATTCCACTGATAATTTACTACCATTATCATCTCAACACTAAAATAGAATTAGCCTTCATTAAAATTGAATTTTGTTCACCATAGTAAAAATAATCTATTTATGTGTATATGTATGTATGTAAACATACGTTGTAAGTATATCTAATTGAAATTTCCGAGAAGAGACCATTAAACTGAAAAGGAGCCTCTCTTAAGTTTGTTTTTGTTTGTAAAAATACTCAAATTCCGAGTAGTAAATCATTTAGTAATAAATCCAATTAAAATTTCTCCCCAAAAACAAGGAAATAAATGAAGAAATAAATAATAAAGCATTTTACATATTGTTGTTTTTTTTCCTATAATTATTTGTAATATTTAAATTTAATTTAAAAGTTTTAAAGGAAAATCAAATCAAATTAAAATTGTATAAAATAACAAGTAAATCATATATAAAGAATTTATTTTTTTTTGTTAAAATATGCAAAAAAATGAGAGCACCCCAAAAAAATCATCAAATAATACTGGGGGCTCCATAAAAGCCACCTCATTAACATATAAGCATAATAAAATTTTAACAAACTTAAAATCATTACAATATAACATAAAAGATAATAATATTATTAAAGATAAAGATAAAAATAATAAAGATAAAATTCCATTAATTAAATCATCATCTTCCAATAGTTTATTATTAGAAATAGATAACAGTAATAATCAATTATTATCATCAGATTTAGAACCATTATCAAATAAATCAAAATTAATAAAATCATCTGTTTTACCTACACTATTAATAAAAGAACAAAACCAGGATGATGAAAATGAACCATTAATTGAAATAATAAAAAATTCTATATCAACAACAAATACAACAACTTCAATAACAACAACAGTTACAACAATAACCCCCATAACAACAACAACAACTAATTCTAATAATATATTAGAAAATTCAAAAAATTTATTATTACCAACATCATTATTATCAACAAATTTAATAAAACCAGATGATACTACAGATTCAATTCAAAAAAATCAACAATTTAAACAGAGATTTCAACAACAACAATCACAAAATAAGCAAAAATCACCATCAAATTCAATATCATCATCAATATCAATATTATCATCATCAATAAAATCTAATACAAATAATAATGATAATAAAACAAATACAGCAATTGAAGTACCATCATCAATATTATCATCTCCATTGATACCAATAAAATCAAGAATAGCAACAACAGTAGCATTATCACCATCATCAATATTAACAACGAATAATGATATTGATAATAATATTATAAAAATTAATAATAATGGAAATATTTTTGATAAAAAATCTTTATCTGGTAAAATTTTAACCAATAATAAAAATAATTCTAATATTATAACAACAACAACAATATCAAATTCAACAACATCGATTTTAAATAAACAATCAAATTATCGTGATCAATATCAAAAACAACAACAACAACGACCACAACATCAAGCATCCTTATATTATTATCCTTATACTTATTCAAGAAATATATTAAATTCTTCTACTTCTTCTTCTATAAGTGATGGTGGTATTATTTGTAATACTAATAACAATAATAATGGTGTGAGTGGTGGTTGTAATAATAGTAGTATCAGTGGTAATTTAATAACAACATCATCAATATCATCAACATCTTCAATATCTTTAACATCGAATAATTCATATCATCAACATTTATATAATAATAACAGTAGTAGTATCAGCAGCAGCAGCAGCAGCAGTAATAGCAGCAATAGTATAACCGGTAATCGTGGTATTGCTAATAGTATCAGTAGCAATAGCAATAATATTGGTGGTAATGGTAATAATCATATCGGTTATGTTGGTAATAATATAATGGGTGGAAATTCAAAACGTCATTATAGAAAACATACATGGGGTACAAGAGAACGTGCTGGAATGAGCTTTTTAATTGTTATTGCATTCTTTGCTGTATTTGGTTTAATAATACTAACTGAGGTAAGTTTATATCATATTAATATTGTATATTATTATTATACATATACATTTATAGAATGTGTAATAATGACTTTCTTTATATATTTTGATATTATACGTATATACAGAGTGATTAATTAAAAATATAAGAGAGAATAATAATAATAAAAGTAGAAAATTAAAAATCCGTAACGATAAAAACGGGACTGTTTTTCATTTTATTTTATTATTCTGTTTTAAATCTTATTCTATAATAAAAGTTTGAATAACTACAACCACTTGTATTAAAAATGATAACGAACTTAAATCTTATTATGTATGTGTAAGTATATATGGCAACCGCGTACAGATATAAAACATTTTTTCTGATTTTGATATTCAAGCCAGACAAGAGTAATAACAATAATAAGAAAATAATGAAAATAACAGTGTTGTTAAATTAAAGGTAAAAATAAATTAGTTAATTGGACCCCTTGTTTATTACCGTTATTTTCATTTTTTATTCTTTGGTTTTTGTTTATTTTTCATTTCCTTTCGACTGTTATTTTTATTATACTCTATGTACAGATTCATGATTATTTCCCATTTTAATTGAAGTCCAATATAATTTACATTTCAAATACAACCAACAAACGTTAAAAATGAAGTCATGTTCGGAACGCAAAGAAAAAAGAACAAAACCAGAAAATATAAGAAAAAAAATATACTCTTTTTCCGTTATTATTATCTAGTTGAGTCTGGATTTGCCCTTGGAATAATTTATGAGAGACAAAGAAGAACAGGAGTAGCAATGAAGAAAGAAAATATGGTGAATGTTTTTTTTTTTTTAAAAATGCTTTTATTTCCTCCATTTAATTTAACATCGTTACCATAGCTATCTACTTGAATATTCTAGAAACGTATAACACCAAAATGAAAATATTGAGAGAGAATTCATTCGAAAGTTTTTACTATAATTAAGAAATATATCGTGTCTATACGGAAATGGTATTCTTAAGGTATTATAGGAGCCAATTTCCGACCAATTAGTTAGTTGAATCACATAGTTTTAGAATTGAAATTTTCGGAATTGACTAAGTTTTTCCTGTACCAGTGCGTACGAGTACCAATTCAGATTTTCAATTACGAATATATGTATAAGCAATTTTCTCTTCTTCTCGAGAAATGTATTAAATTTTTATTAAGGCAAATAATAAGAAGCACTTCTATGCCATAATTTTACCGTAAAATTTGCACGGTCTTCTGTTGAAAATCATATTAGTAATCAATTATTATAATGTAATTTACCTAATAATAGTTTCTACAGGTCCGAGAGCGATATCGTCTGCTCCAACAGATGCATATTTTATCTTAGTCATAGCGTAATCTTGAAAATTCGATCAAAATTAAATTCCCATAAATTTGGTCTTGAATAAGTCAAATTTTACTGTAATATCCCATAAATTATAAAATATTTTGCAGTCGCACACGGTTCTAAAGAATTTCACACGGTTCTAAAGAAAAGCTGTGTGATAGTAACTTTTAGCAGTTCATTTATTTTATTATACGCTCATCATCCAAAATTTTTATGTATTGTCATGAATCCTAAAATTATTTTACAGAAACTATGTATGTATGTATGTATGTTGTGCAGAACGTCAGTATACGATAATTTTCACGTATAAGAGAAAAAGGAATTGAAAACTATACTACGTGTATAAAACTAAGTACCGAATTGAAATAAGGATGAAAATGCATGAATGATAGAAAAAAGCAATTTCTACTTTTTTTTTTTGAAAATAAAAAACTTTTGGTCGATTTAAAAGAATAATTATTTCAAAACAAAATAATCATAAAATTTCTTATTATAATAACATTATTCGGTTAGTAGAATGCATCCTTTCGGAAATCTTTTGTTTTTAAATAATTTTCTCTTTTAAAAACGAAATAATATTAAAATGAGCCCATGAAAATAGTTTGTTTAACAATGAGAATAAAAATTTTGTAGATAGAAATGAATTTCATGTTAATAATAATATTTTCTTTCTTTTTAATTGTTATGGGATTTTTTAAAATGAAATTAAAGTTTAATATGAAAATTTTGGTTTATGAGGATTGGGGTTGTTTAATGGAAATGTAATTTAAACAAATTTAGATAGGCTTTTCGAACATTGAATAATTTTGTGTCCAGATTTTATCCACTACTGGGCGATTATCACCAAGTAGTCTATTAAAGAAAATCTTATAGCAATGTACATTTTGACATCATTCCGATATTTTTCATTTAAGCATTTTGTTGCCATCTTAACCCATAATGGGCTAAACTAGGTCCATTCTTCAGAAAATTGGTTCGTAGAGCTTTATAACAGAAAATACGATACTGTCATTCAAACAATTCTGATACTTTTAATTTGAAGTTTGAGTTAAATCATTAAATTAAATTTAGAATCAGTATTTGCATGTATGCATGCTGACAATGAAAATGCTTCCTAATAAAAGTTTTTAATAAAGTCCTGAATGATCACTAATACTACTACACTAATCATCCAAATTATATTACAGTATATGAGCAAATATAAATGTTTGTATGTAAAAACATACATGAATTTTGTCTGGCAACCATAATACAATGTTGACATTTTTATTTCTAAAATTTATAAAGAGTCAAAGAAACATGTTGCATACAACATTAATTCCAAAATAAATGATGAAAAATTTGTCATGAATTTAAAATTTTATAAATATATGTATATAACCATGTACATATGTACATTCATATAATAAATAACATTACAAAACAAACATTAACCTAATTAAATTTTTGCAATGCGGAAAATAAATTTGAATTGAATAAAGAACGTAATTTTCCCATAGAACTTTTAATAATGTAATTTTGGTTATACATAAGGTTCATTTTCATTTCTCTTGGGTTCATTTAAATTAGATATTAAATGTATATGTATAGTCAATTATATTAAACCATTCGCACAGTTTTTTTTAACAATTTCAGTCTCATAAATTTTTCTATTGAAAAGTCAAAATATGTTCAGAACATTGGAACTCTACTTGAAAATAAATATAATTTATATGTTATAATTAGAAAAATTTATATTTAAATTTTTTTAAAAATATTTTATAGAATTTTCATATATACTGCATGCGCCGCAAGCTATTCTATTGTGTATTTATATTGGAACATTTTAGAGAAGGAACTTGTAATACGATTAAATTTTGATAAGAGAAATTTCAAAGTAATTAGTAGAATTAGTAAGTAACTTAAAATACTAGAAGCTCCTTACTAGTCCTACTACTTAGAACTTGGTAGAAGTAATGAGATTATTCTGTCATGGGTATAAATGTCCCATGTGGGTATAAAAATTTTTTACTCATCCTTTTTCAGTAGCGACGGCCAATTCGGTGTTTTTTCACTTGTCTATTCGAAGAGTTCAATTTTGAGCGGATTTTTCACATATCTTAGTTGGGTCAGGCAGATTTTTTTTATAAATAATTTGGTGTAGTGAAGGAAACAATTTGTAAATCTTTGGCAGATTTTCAATGTTCATATTATTTGCTTTCAGTTTTTAATAGTATAGAATTTGTAAAAAGTAAATTCTAATGAATTTTTTTATTATATTTTTCAGCTATTTATGATTGATGATAAAAATCGTGGTGGTATGGTTATGTTACGTCATGGTAATCTCAATAATCGTATGATGGATTCAATACAACCAGACTATGATAATCCAAAGGTAATATTTAATAATAAAAATAATGAAAATAAAGTTTTTGAAAATAGTTTTAACATAAGTGGAGCAAATGATCCTTATTGATTGAATTATTATACTTTTGCTTTTGATTAATAAGAAACTAAATTTTAAATAAATTTTTTTCGCGTTTTTAAATATTATTTAATTACATAACTGCTTTATTTTTGAGGGAAAGACCAGAGCAGAGACCGAATTGTATACTTTTGCTTTGAACTGTTGTGTACTTGAAAACATTCGTAGGAGATATGTGAACCTAACTATTAGCATGTTCTCAAATAGTCAGGTGGTAATTCGGGCGGTTGTTTCTTACCAAATCAAATCAAATTTGATGAGAGAATGTACTGTGTATGTGTCAGGCGCTAGTAGAACTTGGTAGAAAGAATGAGATTATTCTGTCATAGGTCCCGCCCCATGTTGGAATTTATATCAACGAAGAGGGTTTTTGTCCGTCCCGAGCTTTTTTGTGGGCTGTCGAGTTGTCATATAATGGCGTATGGGGCGGAACGAATAGACTGCCTTAAAGAGGAGTATTGGAATCGGAAATCTGAGTGTTAGAATCGGTCCATCTTGCAAAAGGGCCGATTAGCTGTTGGGGTTTAAAAGGGTGAATGCCAAGTGGGTGGCCGGCCTCCTCACTGTGCATTGCAGAAATTGGGACAATGTGAGGACCATTTGAGGATGAGACGGCTGAGCATATACTGTGGCTGTGCATTGTGGCCCAAGAGGCGTTTTTGGTAGTGAGGGAGATAAGTAAGATAAGTATTGAGACCCTTGAAGTTGTTGGGAGTGCCGTTTGGAAGAATCTGTAAATACTTGGAGATTATACGCCTTTTATAAGTGGTGGCATGTCACAATAAGTCTTTATGGCTGCATTGTCCGGGTCCGAGGGTGATCTCTACCAATCTATGAATCTTGTATCTAATATCTGGTATATAGGTAATTCGTTTCAAAGTGCACATCTATATACTGTTATACAAACTCGACTAGATTACGTAAAATTTTTGCTTGAAAATATTGTGCACAGCATTAAAAATTTTTAATATTTTTAAAACGGATTTTCCTTGATAACTTATTCTCATATGCTTATCCTTCGGATAAGGTTTTTTGATATGCAAATCAAACATTTTTTTTTTTCAAAAACAAAAAGTTTTTTTTTTTCCACTAAACTATTTTTCTATATTGTACTCAAAACCAAAAGCATATTATTTTAAAAATGTTTTCTTGTTATGCAAATGAGGATACTAGGTGTATACTATAATCAAGATATCATAGTAATTTTTAATACTATTTCATTATAACAATATTGCTATATGAAAAGCACAAAAACTATTCGATATTATGATTGTTTTTGTTCTTTAACATTGTCATGAAAATATTTTTTTAAAAGAACAGAATAGCTTTTAGTTCATAAACTTCAAATGATTTTTAAATAGGATAAGGTAAAACAGAAAAACAAAACAAAGGCAAAAATAAAATAGAAAACACTTTCATAAAAAATCTTTAACAGTGGTGTTTTTTTTTTGTTTTGTTCTACAGTTTTTTAAACAAAATAAGAACAAAATGAAATCAGGATAATAGATTAATTCTTTAAAAGAATTTTTGTATGCAAAAGAATCAAAATAATAGTACAAAAAAAAAGAAAAAGCTTTAAAAGGATACCAGACTTTTTTTCACAGATTATAAAGAGATGATTTAGTTTTGTTATTCCACGGGGTGCCATTCAAGTGCACATAAATATACAACAGAAACTTTTAGGTCTTATATAGCAAATAATAGTTGTAAATTCAATGAAACTAAAACAAAGTAATTTATAAAACTGTTATACTGTTAATGATACTTGATACCATTAACAGTATTAAGAGTGACATTAATGGAGTAAGGATAACATAATTCAAGTTGGATAAAATTACACTTTTGTTGTTTCAATTGATTTATATTATGAATTAAAATTTTGGTTTTTCAAACTAAACCAGATTTTCGAAGTTAATCTGTACAAATTTTTCTAAAAAGAAATTTCGTCTTGGGAGATGTCTTAATTCCTTATTATTTCAACTGAACCAAATGATGCCAAAATATGAAGTTTCTATTCAAGTTTTGTAATAGTTATGACAGTTTTGTGGGATACCGAGCTATCCGACTGTTTGAGTTAGTATCACATTTTATTTATCATAAATTAAAATAGAGACCAGATTCTATAAGAATGAGAGCTTTTGAACAGAATCCAAAAAATACGAAAGAAGGGTGATAGTAAATCGATGTAAACAATAACTGGAATGTTATTATCGCTTTTAGCCCAGATCTTTTGATATACATATGTATATCAATAATGAAGGCGAAGTATATTTTACTATAAAGATAGTGATCAAATTTTTGAATACCTTTATGAACGTGAATTTATTTTATGTACTAATTTATATGCAAATATCTAAATGTTTGATGTTAAAATTCCGGCTTAAATGTATCCCAATTAATAAATCTGGTGGCAGTAATCGAGAATTTCGTAGGGACTATTTCGTTCTCCTTGTATATGATTTTATTAAATTTTAAAATGCGCTATCCCTCACAACACATACATATAAAAAAAAATTTAGATTTTCATTTTTAACTTTAATACAAATTTACTTTTCCATACAGTATGGTGATGATTATGATCAATCATTCGGATTTATGCCAAAATCTAAAAATCCAGGTAAAATTTTATAGACGACAATCTGTTTTTTTTTTTAATTAACACTAACATTAAAATCTATTTTCCAATTAGATGAAATCGATCCTCTTCGCTTAAAAACGAATCGTTTAGCATGGAATGAAATGCTTGAAACAAGATTAGAACAAACTTTACCACATTATCCAATTGGTGAAACACCAACTGATGGTATTTGGAAAGTAGTAAATGGTACACGTTTTAAATTCTTTGTTTATTCGGCCTATTATGATAGACGTTTAACGCATATTGTACGAATTATTGGTGCTACAAAAACAAGACGACCAGAAAAAGTTTTTTGTCGATTATGGTATACAATACGTGATCCATTGAATTCAAATAGAACAAAACATACCTCAGCTACATTAAGTGCTAAAGTAAAGGTAATAATATTATTAAGACTCTAGTTTTATGTTTTTGAACAAAATGAATGAAAATCCCTGTATGCTAAAAATAATTTCTAATATATATTCTATGCTTTTTTTTTTTATAATTCAAATAATTTAGATAATTCGTGAACATTGGAATTTAAAATATAGTGCTGTATTTGTATTGTGTCCGATACCACCACAAGATACACCATTTGCTGTAAGTGTTGTTAGTAGATTACGTGCACCACCCGGTAATATATTACAGTTACGCAATACAAATTTTGATCCAGATTTTTCAAATCGTACATATAATCAAATACCAGATAAAATGGCAATATGTGTTAAACCATTTCATTTTAATTATGATCAAGCATTATATTTAATGGAATATCTTGAATTAAATTCATTATTAGGTGTATCACATTTTACATTTTATAATCATACAATTGGTCCGCATGCAACATGTGTTTTACAACATTATGCAAGCGGTGATATACCACAGGGAAATTTAACAGAATATGATATTTTTGATATTCAAGCATTATTCGGTATTGGTAATAATCGTAATAGTAATAACAATAATAATAACAATGGTAATAATGCAAATAGTGGTTTAAGCGGTGGTGGTTTAAGTATAAGAAATAGTAATAATATCAATAATAATTCAATATTATCATCATCTTCATCATCATCATCAGTCCCATCTACAGCAATACCATTACAAACTACAACAATTAGTAATAATAATAAAATTAAAAAAATGAAAATATTAAAAACAACAAATTATGCTGTACCAACTGTACAAATATTACCATGGGATTTGAGAATGCGTTCACAATCTGAAATAAGAACAGAAGGTTTATTTGCAGCATTAAATGATTGCCTGTATAGAAATATGTATAGATATAAATATTTAGCTTTAATTGATGTAGATGAATTTTTAATGCCAAAATACAACGATTCATTAAATGATTTATTAAGGTAATTATTACATTCTTGTAGAACCGATTTCAATAATTTTAAGGTGAAATTTTAATTATTATTTTTTTTTTTTTTTGGAACAGATGGCTAAATAAAAAATATAATATTGCTCAAGTTGGATCATATTCTTTTCAAAATGCATTCTTTTATTTACAATTCGCTGATGATCCAAGATTATATGAGACAACGAGTAAAAATTCAGCATTAAGAGGGGCACTTGTGACGCAAAGAAAAACAAGAAGGTGAAAATAAAAGTTTCTTTTTCGGAATTTATTTTTTTTCATAATTTTTAACTACAAAAAAATTATAAACTTTTAGGAAAAATGTGTTTTTTAAAAAACTTTCTAACCTTTTTTTTTTTTGTTTTGTTAATAGACGACTAAGATTACATCCACAGAAACAACGTTCAAAATATATTGTTAATCCAGAAGCTGTCGTCGAAGCTGGTAATCATTTTGTGTGGGATTTTATACCAGGGAAAAAAACTTTTAATGTACCAGCTGATGCTGGAATTTTGCATCATTATAGGGTAAGATTTTATTTTCTTTTAAATATTTTATCCAATAATAATATAGTGGAAATGTTGAGGAGTTAGGTGATAAATATCCATGCAATTAAATTATACGGTCCCCGAATTATGAGTTCGTTGCGGAATTTTTTTTTATCTTTAAGATTCAGTTTAGAATCCACAGTAAAATGTGTCATCCTTGCAAACAATTTCAATTAGAAAAAACGAGAAGAAATCGTGTTCACTCTTTGTATGTGTTAAATCAAATGCAAATTATCATTGAATATGTGTGGCAGCGTTTATTAGAACTTCTATCATCACAGTCAAATTTTACTGGAAAAGGGATCCTGTCATTCTACCCATTTATAAAAAATCTGAATATTATACGCTTTATAGTTACTTGTGGGCGGCTGTTTGTTATTCATTTAAGAGTAGTTTTAATGCTGTTAGCTTTACAATTCCCGAAGAATTACTATTGTATGAAAACGATTCGAACTATTTAATTAAACCCAAATTCAATAGGGTTCTTACGGTAACAAATCTTTTTGATCAGTGAAAATTTATAATATTCTTCGAGCACTTATTCGTACGGTTAATTTTAAAAATTATTTCTACAACTACAAGGCTTAACATTATGTTCCATTATAAGTAGTTGGACTGTTAATTAGTTATTCACATATTATATCATATTGTGAAATCTAAAATAACACAAAATCACAATTTATTTATGTATTTTTACAATATATAAAAATATATGTCCTAGTTAACCCAAATAGTTTTCGGAAGAGAAAGAGGGAGTGAACTGAAAAGGACAAAAATAAATGAAAAAATCTAACAAATCTTAAATGTAGTAATACACTTATTATTATAGATTTATCACAAAATCGGTATAATAACTATAAAAGTAAAACAAAAAAAAAAAAATTCTCTTTTACAGGTTTGTGAATTTGGTGGTGACGATTGTGTTAAAGTTCCATCAATATTAGATCGTACAGCAATAAAATATACAAATAGATTAATAGAACGTGTTGAAAAAGTCTATAATTATTTAAAAAGACCATGTAATTTAGATAATTTACCACCAGCTCCAACAAAACCACCACCTACACGACGTAAAGTTTTACAAATAAGAAACTATAATGGAACAAGTAATAATAATAATAATCATAATAATATTAATAGTAATAATGATATTAACAATAATAATAATGATAATAAGAATAATATTAATCAAAATTCAGTGAAATTAATTGATGTAAAAAAAGCAGTAGGTAATAATTATTTTTTAATAAATAAAAATAAAGATGTTACATAAAAATTTATAAATTTATAAAAATACATAATTAATAATTAATTTATTTATACATTTGTCCAAATTAACTTAATTTTCTAAATTAAAGTTCTCTATTACATAAAATTTATATTGAGCTTATTAAGCATACTTAATTATTATAATAAATATGAAAAATTATTTTATATAAATTATTATTTTAATAACAATTATAATTATAATTATAATTAAATAAAGTAAAATAATTATTTGTTTTTCTCATTTATATAATACGAAAGCTGTCATTATTAAATTGTCATATTTTAAGTAATTCTTACTTAAACTTGTGTATAAGGAATTTTTTTATATTTAAGAGATTATTAAATAATAATTATATTCATTTAAGTATGTACACATAAAAGTTAAACCATGAAAGTGGTAGGATTTCCAAAAATTTATTGTAATTTCAAAAAACCTTAATTATATAGGGAGCACATACTGTTCACTTTGAAATTATAAAGAAATCAGTATAAAAATTTACTGCGTCCAAAATATTGTTTTTGAAAGATGGAAATTATGCCTATAACTATGCTAGATAAATGAGTTAAAAACAGGCTTATTTTAATTAAAAAAATGATTTCATTTTAATTATATTGAGTCTTTCAAAAATATATAATAAGCCAGCACTTAAAACTACAAAATCCGACAACTACAAAAAAAAATATAGTTTTTAGCACTTTTCCAAAAATTTTTTGAAAAAAGTGCTTATCAATTTCACTCTGTCCGTCCGTCCGTCATTCCATGACATTAAAAAATATAATTATATTTCTTAACTCACACAATTAAACCTTAGAATCAAGCACTATGTTAACCCCATTTTATATTAATTTTTGCTTTATTTGAAAGGCTGCATAAATCGTTCATCCTAAATATATGCAATCCTAGAAATAATTTTGTATATGAATGAAAATAATTTTAATAGTGTGATAGGTATACATAGACTGTATTCAAAAGCAGAATTTTCACTTGTTGAATGGAAAAGTGCTACAATACAAACCATTGGTTTGACCCAACTTTATTTGGTTATTAAATGGAATTGCACAAAATGAAACCGCAAACAACAACTTCAAAATTAATTAATTTTCTATTTTTACAATTGCTGCCTGCAATATTTTACTGATTTTGACAGTATCATCGATTCCATTATGTCATAAAAATGCGTTTATTTCATTTTAATTCAAAATGGTATGAAAATAGTTTTATATTTATAGTTCTGCCATACCATACAATTAACGTTTATAGTATATTAAAGCTAAAACAAATATCAAAAACCAAATGAATATGCAAATGTGAATTGCATTTAAAAATAGTCAAAAAGTAACAACTCCGAAAATTGAGTAGCATTTTAAAATTAACCCAAGAGAGTAGCACTTTCTCTTCTTCAAAAGTAGCATTGTGGTAAAGCCCCTCAGTAAATTTTCAGGGAGAGTGTAATGCTGTCGCAGGGAAATGGAATACTGGAGGTTTTGATCTCATGGCGATGGAGTTGCACTATTTTTTTTTTCATTCTACCTATATAACAACGATTTTTGTTGGAAAATTTTGATTATTAAGAACCTTACTTAACACACACTTAATGAAATCAATTACAAAATTTTCTGTTTTCATGGAATGCAAACCACTTTCATTATCATGCTTTTAATAATATGAAATTATTTTATCTTTAATTCAAACTAGAATCGGAAGCTAAAATTTAATTAAAAGAAATTATTTTTATATTTTATTAATAAATTAATTAACTTTAATTAACTTATATAGTAATTATAAGAGAAAAATTTTTCTAATTATGTTAATTATTAAACTATGCATTAACAGTATCAGCAGCCTAAAATCTAAAAAAAAAAGAAAAATAATAATAATACTGAAAATAATAGGTAATTATTTACGCCAAAGTAGTTTTTAAAATTCATTAAGGTTATAAGTGTCTCGCTTTCTAAGAGAAAAGAAATAAAAATATAAAAAATCAAAATATATTATTTAAAATAATCGAAAAAAAAAACATTTAAAAGAGTGTAATGTGTAAAGCAATTAAATAAAATTATTATAAATAATTAAAAAAAAAATTATGCTTATAATAAAAAGAAAAATATTGATTTTGTACTATTATATACATACATACATACTTATATACAGATTTTAATATTATCCCAGAAATAATAATAAAAAATAACACTTTAAAACGTTTAATCTATACGAAATTTTAGTGCGCCTCTATAAAAAATAATAATTTTCGTGCAATTAAGAAGATTTCAAGAAAAAATCTTAAAAGAAAATAATTTTCATTTGAAATTCATTTTGATTTTTAATTATTTTTTCAATCCACAAAATTGTTTAATAAAAATTTCATGAAATAATCGGAAAATACTTATGTAAATGTGCCGCCTCTAGGCAGCACCTCATATGATTATAAAAAAAATATTAAAGAAAAAATTATATACAATGCTTTCATCTACTTGACGAGAAAATTACATTAAATATAGCAATAAATAACCTCTTCCAAAACAAAGCGTTTTAAGACATCAATCGATAGGAAAATCGATTTACATTAACAAGACCATAACGTTTAAAAAAAAAAAATTTACATAAAAAGTGATTTGGCATTAAGCCAAAAAAATTATTACATAAAGTGCAAGGATTAATTCGAATTTTAATTAATTTTATTTGGAATATCGAGTAAATATGAATGAACAAACATTTCTGTATCTTTAAATATGTTATCAGTCGGTATCTATTATCTCCACCCCCCCCCCCCCCCCCCGTCCTAACCCCCTTGATAAATTTTTTTGCTTGTGTCAGTTGTGTGTCAATTAAAATTTTATAAAGTTGATGGTATTAAGTCCCCAGTAATTGTTTATAATAAAAGCCCCCAGTTCATAATAGTTAAAAATTGCCATTTTACTGAAAAAGTTATTTAAACGCAGAAGTCATTCATAATTATCCAATTATAATAATTTTTACATTTGAGTAATAGTTTACGTTCTTTTGCTTATCATTTCTTTACTATCGGCAAACAAATGTAAAATATATGTTGTTAAAAATCAACAAAATTGTTGAAATCTTACCTGTAAAAAAATATAAGAATGGAAATTCAAAAAATTAAATAGTGAATTATGAGCTACACAACAAAATATTATGACTATAATAAGCATTATTGCATTGTCATCAATAATACGAACAACGAAATATCGAAAAAAAAATCCATAGTTTATTAAATTATTATATTAAAATCAAATTAAAGTAAGTATAATTAAACTTGCAATGATACAAGAAACTGGTTTATGATTGCCTATACGATATCATGCACTTACCCTAAACTCCTCCTATAATTCACCTATAAATTCATCAATTATAGAGTGTCAAAGCTTTCATTTGAATATTCAATTATATTGAAAATTATGCCGAGATTTGTACATTAAAATAAAATTGAATATGTACAGTATAGGTTTTTTCCTCATGAAATAAAATTCAATAAAGGATTCAATTCACATAATTATATTTACAATTTTTTATAAGCGTTCTTACATCTCGTCTTAAGCTGCTTATCACATTTCCAAAAAAAAAACCCGTTGTGAGCAGGTCATAACCAAATAATTATGATACTTTATGACCGCTTTAAATTCATTTTAATTTAAAATTACGTTCAAATAGTCGAATATAATAGTAAAAAATTTGAAATAATCAAAATTAATTGCATATTATACTGAAAAACATAATAGTAATCAATTGAAATCTATATAATATAAGTACATATACAAAGAAGAATTAGAAAGAGTATGTAATTTTGATATTTTTATAGAAATTAAATAAATTATATTATATCTATAAAATATATAGAAACTTTATTTGGCAATAAAAATAACTATTATTATACTATAAACAAATCTAATAAAATAAAAATATTATGGAAAATATTAAAATATTATTTGAAGAATAATAAATTTTTTAGGCCTTTAATAATGCTATTCTCAAAAATTGCTGCTAAATTTCTGCTTATATATATATATATATATAGCTAAATTAATTTAAAAATCTTTTTATTAAAAGAGAACAACAAGCTTACTATTTTCTAGAAATAAAAATATAATATAAAAATATATTAAAAATAAAATATACAAAAAATAAAATATTAAATTTAAACATATCATTAGCTTCAAACTGTAAAACATTAAGAGTTTTATTACAAAAAATAAAAATTAAAAAAAAAGAAAATAGATTTTATTCTAAAATTAAAAAACAAAAATATAATACACAAAAAAAAAACAAGGAAAACTAAAGAAGAAATATGAAAAAATTTCACTAAAAATATATTTAAATTAATTTTTATTATATAAAATAATGTAAAATATATTTTTTATTAAAAAAAATATTTTTAAAAAATATTAATTTTAAGATTTTAATTTATATTTTAATTAAAATACACAAATATTATATATTAAAGGATAAATTTAGATGTGTCTTAAGTTTGAATTTATTTTAAAAATTTCTAAATATAGTAGGAAGGCTACCATAAATACTATCGGCCATTTTTGAAGACTACAGCTTCAAATACCAAATTTCGACAGAGGACTCCTTGTTAGATAAGACGACTTTGTGATTGGGCTTTGTTTCGATTACATTGAATAATTTTTGGAAGTGTCCGCAAATCGAAATTTCTTATATCGATTAGACTCTTAATAATCGAGTGGTGGGTTACAGAATTGAACGAACTAATTTCTCTTAACTAACTTCATAGTTTATATACCTAACTTCATATATAAACATTAATTTAAAAGAAATCTATTTTAAATTTTATGAATTGCCTCACCTTCAGTACTCGTATAAGAATGTTAGATCAATGATTGGTAATAAACATGGCAGTGGTAGGAATGATTTTATATAATAATCTGTATAAATAATTATGAATTTATTAAATTGAAACTATTATTTATACATGGCGTGAACTTTTCCCATACATTAAAACTAACAACTTAATAATTAAATAAGAAAATAATAAATTAAATTAAAAATATTTATTTAATTTAAAAATATTTCCCTATAATTGGCCTAAATTAATATTCGTTCTTTGAGAACAATATATCTTATAG